GGGGTTGGCTCGGGCGTGGGTTCAGGAGTCGGACTCGGCGTTGCCTCTGGCGAAGGACAAGGGGTCGGCTCCGGGGTTGGGAACGGTGTAGGGGACGGGGTTTCGTATTGAGCTGCATTGGGGACAGCCAGGGATGCCAGAATCAGCATGGTCACGAAGGATGCCTTGGAAAAGAGCATGGTTGTTGTTGGTACCGTGAGGTAAATGGAAGAGTGGGGCATCCTGCCTCGGCCGACTCACAATGTCTTCCCATGGCGTTCGTGAGATCGAGTTGAGGTCGAATGATGCACGTTCTTGGACCGCTTCTTCCACGGTTATTGCTCCAGGGAATCTCGCGATGGGTATGATGTTGCTCGGGCTTTGGGGGTTACGTCCTCCCCTGGCCTCATCCACACGGTCCGCATTCGTGGACCACTGAAACCAGGCATGCCTCCACCTCGTCGTCGTCTGCATGTGGCACGTCTTGGTCTGCTTGGGTGGAGCGGCAATGTGCGTAAGGGGTCGTTGCGACTGAATCTCGCGGTCGATGTCGAGATGATGACTGTTTGCTGGAAGAGGTAGGTTTCAAGTGGTTTGCCAGAGTGACCAGCTCATGAGAGTGCAAGAAACTCGGCGAGAACGACGAAACAAGAAGACGAGCCTCGTTCACTGGTCTTATGAATGCATGTACGTAGAGGGAATGGGAATGGAAGAGCATTACGCGGAAGGGAAGAATGTACTCATGGGCCCGTGATGAAGGGATATATTGCAAGCATGACGTGACGAAAGTCGTCGGTATTGTGAATGCGCACACAAATGCCACCCTCGTTAACCCGTCCACGCGCCGTGACAGGCGACCCAGGCAACTAGCGTTTGGTCCAAAAAGGTAGCATATATATACACCAATCTAAGCGGTATTCGATCGTTTCCTAAACCAACTTCAGCTGCTTCTTGACGCGCATCTTGAAATCGGAAATCTCGCCTTCGTACACTCTGATCTTTTGGTCTTCGACGAGCCAGATTTCCTTGGCGACTTGCGAAATCAGCCGCATGTCGTGGGAAACGAGCAGCATGCCGCCTTCAAACATGTTGATCGCGCGCGCGAGGGCGTCGATACTTTCCATATCCAAGTGGTTTGTCGGTTCATCCAAGAGCAAAATGTGCGCGTTTTGGTGGGCAATGTATGCAAACACCACCCGCGACTTTTGCCCGTCACTCAACTGCTCCATCACTTGCGACTGCACCTCACCCGAGATCCCATACCGACCCAAGTACGATCGCACTTCTTCCACCGACTTGGTGGGAAAGATCGTTCGAAAGTACTCGAGGGGGCTCTTGGACAAGTCCAGGACATCGACGAAGTGCTGCGTGAAGCGAGCGACGCGGAGCTTCGAGTGCGGGCGGATGTTACCGTGAACAGGCATCAGTTGACCCGTGATCAAGTTCAGCAAGGTCGTCTTGCCCGACCCGTTCGCTCCGACTAAAGCAACGCGGGAGTCCATGTCCAGGCCCATCTCGACACCTTGGTACAACAACGGGCAGCCGGGGTAGCCAAAGGCTAAGTCTTGAAACATGAGGACAGGGGGCGGGAGGCGTTCCGGGTTGGGAAACTTGAAGTCGCCTTCCACTTCTTTCACGACCTTTTCCGTCAACCCTTCGCGCACCATCTTGGCCAGAGTCTTTTCCTTGGATTGCGCTTGGCGAGCGAGCTTGGCGGAACCGTGACCAAACCGCGCAATGTAGTCCTTCATGTGCTTGATTTGGTCCTGTTCCCACGCATATTTCTTCATCTGGTTTTCCTCTTTTTCTTGTTTCGTCTTGACGTACGTGTCGTAGTTTCCCGAATAATACTCGAGCTTCTTGTTCTTGAGGTCGATGATGTTGGTGCACACGGTGTTCATGAATTCCTGCGAGTGCGAAATCATGAGCAGAATCTTCTTCCACTTGGACAGGTAGTCTTCCAGCCACACGACAGCTTCCATGTCCAAATGGTTGGTCGGTTCGTCGAGTAACAAGAGCGTCGGCTGGATAAACAGTGCGCGGGCGAGGGCAATGCGCATGCGCCACCCACCGGAAAATTCACGCGTCTTCTTTTGCATCATGGCGTCCGAGAACGTCAAACCGGCAAGAATTGTACGAGCGCGGAGTTCGGCCGTGTCGGCATCCATTTCGTCCAAACGTTCGTAGATGTCGGTCAAGCGGTTCGTAATCGCTTCGCTTTCGTCGTCGCTTATGCTCTCGTCCAGCATTTTTTCCGACAGCAGGTCCACTTCGGCTTGCAACCGGTTGCGCTCTTCATCCACAGACGTCACAGCTTCAAGGGCCGTCATGTCGGTCGCTTCAATTTCGTGCTTCAAATGGTAAATTTCGATGCTTTCCGGGATCGGAACACCGCGCGCACCCAACACGTTCATAAAGGTTGACTTGCCCGACCCGTTGCGCCCGATGAGACCGTAGCGACGACCGTAGTTGAGCGAGATGTCACAGCTTTCCATCAACACTTTACCATAGTACGTGATGGAGAAGTCCAACACGTTGATGTCCTTGAAGTTGGAGTGCACGGCTCGTGCGCTCATGGCGCACGTAGCAATGATACCGTCATCGGCCAATTTGTCCGCCATCGTGCGCTCGATTGGGGCCGACTCGGCAGTTGGGTCCTTCTTCGCCGCCTTGCCACCCTTGGAGGTCGCTCCACGTCGTCCGCGTGTATTCTTGGGGGGCATCTTGTGTTGTGGCTGGAATCTCAAATACGAAAAATCAATGGTGAAGAGCGAGGTTGTCGCACATCTAAATTAGGGCAATTTCTGGCGTCCAATCACAACCGAAACCACCAACGTTGAATCACCACTGGGAAATATTCCCAATTGTTGCCCCACGGGGAAGTGTCAAAAATTAGTGTTACAATGGGAATCCCTGTCCACAACGAAAGCTCGAGGGCGAAGTGCATCATGCGACATGGGAAAACGTATCGTCCTCGCCAAGTAGACACGCGGCCTACAGGAAACTGCCCATTTAGGGGCGAGCGCCTTTCAAGGCAAACTATGCAGACACGTCCAGGGGTAATGTATTGCCTACGAGGCAAGTGTATGCGCAGCACGACGGTCTTGCGACCATGGTTCAGTTGTCTGCTTGCAAATGGCTCAAGAACCGCGCCCATTCTTGTCATCGTTCGGTACCATGCTGCCGGCAAGAATTTATTGCAATTGGGCCATCCTACATTTGGTCAACTTCGTCATACTCCTGCGGACAGGAGTATTTTACTTGGGTTTTTGTGGTATCCTTTGATTGGCTGGGAATTTTGACTGAATACTCCACGTCGACAACACGATAAAATATGCTCAAAATGTTTCACCTTTGACTTGGCGTTGTGAGCGATGACTGCACACGGCTTCATGAAGGTTTTACGAGTGCCTACGCCCTTGACACTCTCGCGAGTCCACCGTGTTGATTTGAATTTGGCTGTGAACCAACATTCATCGTAGAGTGAATGCTGTCTCACGCTGTACGGATAAATGATTTTCGTCCAGCAGGCTAATTATTTCATAGATGTTTTAATCTTGAAGTGTTTATTCTAATTCTGGTGGGCAATATTTTTCTCCACCTGCTAGAATTTTTAATCGTCCGGAAACAGTTTCTCGGAGGTAGGCCATTTTCCCATTCCGCAGGCAATGCATCGCATCTTTGGCAAGAAGAAACCCGAGGCTCCGCAAGTAAACATCACGGATGTCCATGGACGCGTCGAAGGGCGCGTAGACAACCTCGACATGAAGGTGCAGTCGATCTCTCTCTCGCGAAAGAAGTTCGTTGATTTCCCACGTTCGATGCATGCAGATTGCAAGGCTCGAGGAAGAACTCCAAAAGTACAAACAACAGGTCGAATGAATCGCATCGTGCCTGCCATTCAGCTCACGCAACATATATGTCACAGATGGCCAAGGCAAAAGGGGTGGCACTGACCTCCATCAAACAACGCGCTCTGCAAACCTTGAAGCGGAAAAAGATGTATGAACAACAGCGTGACTCGATGGCCGCGCAATCGTTCAACATCGAACAAGTACATACTGGATGTATTGCGACAGGCATAACCTAGCTCACCGTATTGCTTTAGGCGTCGTTTGCTATCGAGACCGCCAAAGATTCGTTGGATACTGTGTCCGCGATGAAAGCGGCGGCGACACAACTGAAAGCCGAAACGAAGAAATTCAACTTCACCGAGCTCGAGGTGCTCGGATCAAACTAGTGACGTTCTCACTCCACGACTGTGATAGAACGTTCAAGACGACATGGCTGATATGATGGAGGACATGAATGAGATCCAAGAAATCCTCGGACGGTCATACGGGTATGAAAAAGTCATTGCTTTGCTGGCAACCATTGACGGCGGGGATGATGCAGCATTGGCCAAGACATCGACGAGTCGCAATTAGAAGCGGAACTAGAAGGGCTGGAAGACGAATGGGCGTTGGAGGAGGCTGCGGCGCCGCAGCACGCCGCGCCGTCGTATCTAGCAACGGATTTGCCTGCAGCCCCGTCTGGCCATAAGGATAAACCCACCCCGGCCGTAGCAGCAGGAGTCGACGAGTATGGACTGCCCCTTGCACCCGTTGCTCTCGGTAGATAACCTAGCAAGTGCTGAGCACATATGTACTGCCCGTGAGCTCCAGCATACATATCAAATTAATCAACAATTAAAGCAGGGACGCCACATGTTTTGCATTGGAATTTTCATTCGGATAATATCCAGCCATGTCCGGATGACGGAACTGCATGTTGAGCATTTTCGCGGGCTTGTTGGCATGAGCAAACGGAAGAAGGGTGTGTCGTTGGACGAGAAGCGGGAGCGGATCCTGAAGTTGTACCATGAGAACCTCGAGGTATACAACTTGAAGGAAGTGGAGAAGTTGGGGTCGAAGGCAGGTGTTGTGCTGCAGACCATCAAGGACGTCAACCAGGCATTGGTCGATGACAACCTCGTCGACACGGAGAAAATTGGGTCAGGCAACTACTTTTGGTCGTTCCCGAGCAAAGTAGCGCAACAACGGAAGCGGAAACTGGAAGACCTGGAGGCAAAACGGACAGAACTCAAAGCAAAGATTGAGTCTACGAAACACGCTGTGGAAGCACGGAAGTCTGTGAGGGCAGACTCGGACGATCGAGTCGTCAAGTTGGAACGCCTTGCTCAGCTCAGAAGCGACATTGAAGCAGCGAATCAAAGGCTGCATGTTATGAGTGAAAACGACCCAGACCTAATGAAGAAACTCGGTACGACGACCAGGAAGCGCCCTCACTACTATCACGTGACACCATGCAGGCAACAAAGTGAAAGTCGCCAAAGACGGTGTGGACCGTTGGACAGGTACTCTATACATTTTGTTTTACGTGTCTAAAGCTCGGCTTAGACAACGTGTTCAACCTCAAAGCCTGGGTAATCAAGAAGAACAGTTGTTCATCGGCAGAGGTACGTCACTCTCGTCCACTCGTGTACTGATCGCATCGGCCCTAGGTTGAAAAGTGGCTTGGCATCCAAGACGACTTCGATTACCTCGAGTAAAGTATTACTCTAAATCAACGTGAGCACATCAATATCAGCCGTGGTATACCTGCCGTCGCATCGTGCAATCGCACAGATGTGCCTCCTTGGAGAGAAAAGAGATCTGAGAGACATCCCGAGGGCAAACCACACTTGCATGATGTCAAAGTCTTGCAAGTTCGAAATGGATTTGGACGCAACAGCAAATGACTGTTCTCTGCGGCCAGACTCCACTCGTGAATGTCCAGGATGGACAACATGCGTCATGCTTGGGTGCAACTCACTTTGCACAACGGCAACAGAAAAATTGGCAACAGCATGCACCGCCTCTTCAGCTCTACTTCTTCATAAAACCATCTATCCGCCGTTGATTCAAAGCACAGATCTTGGGATTGAGTGTAAGCCATGGCATTCCAACGATAACAACGACAATATTCTATCCACCTCAACCGCATCGCGAGATTCAGTCGCAACGACCCCTTATGCACATTGCCGCTCCACCCAAGCAGACCAAGACGTGCCACATGCAGCAACATGCAGACGACGACGAGGTGGAGGCATGCCTGGTTTCAGTAGTCCACGAATGCGGACCGTGTGGACGAGGCCAGGGGAGGACGAAACCCCCAATGCCTGAGCAACATCATACCCATCGCGAGATTCCCTGGAGCAATAGCCGTGGAAGAAGCGGTCCAAGAACGTGCATCATTCGACCTCAACTCGATCTCACGAACGCCATGGGACGACTTGCGAGTCAGCCGAGGCAGGATGCCCCACTCCTCCATTTACCTCACGGTACCAACAACAACCATGCTCTTTTCCAAGGCATCCTTCGTGACCATGCTGATTCTGGCATCCCTGGCTGTCCCCAATGCAGCTCAATACGAAACCCCGTCCCCTACACCGTTCCCAACCCCGGAGCCGACCCCTTGTCCTTCGCCAGAGGCAACGCCGAGTCCGACTCCTGAACCCACGCCCGAGCCAACCCCCGAAGCTACGCCTGCCCCAACCCCGGAGCCAACGCCGTGTCCGACCCCTGAACCCACGCCCGAGCCAACCCCCGAAGCTACGCTTGCTCCCACCCCGGAGCCAACGCCATGTCCGACTCCTGAACCCACACCAGCGCCAACTCCCGAAGCTACGCCTGCTCTTACCCCGGAGCCCTCCACAGAGCCTACTCCTGAACCCACACCAGAGCCAACTCCCGAAGCTACGCCTGCTCCTACCCCGGAGCCCACCACAGAGCCTACTCCAGAACCTACCACAGAACCTACTCCAGAACCTACCACAGAACCTACTCCCGTGCCTACTCCAACCACGGAACCCACCACCGAGCCTACTCCAGAACCTACAACCCCAGAACCCACACCGGAAGCAACGCCAGATTGGACCCCTGAACCTACCCCAGCACCGACCCCTGAGCCAACACTTGATCCGACCCCTGCACCGACCCCAGAGCCCACCCCCGCGCCAACACCGGAATCGACCCCCGTGTCGACTCCGGGACCCACACCCGCGGTACCAACTCCTCAAGTTACCCCACAGACCACACCCGCACTGACTCCCCCCTCGGCACCGACACCAGCCCCGACAACGTACAGTCCCCCCTCGACGCCGACGTCCCGAGCTCCAACTCCAGTCCCGACGACGTTCCGACCGTACACCCCTTCGTCGACCGCAGGACCGTCCGTCTCCCCTCCCACGCCAGCCCCGACGACGTTCCAACCCCACATCCCGCCTTCCACCTCCAGTCGCTTCCGATCTCCAACGCCCGCGCCTACCATGTACCCCCAGTTCGCAGCGCCTTCCACCTCTGCTGGGTACCAATCTGTTGCCCCACGTCCGTCGGTCACGTATTGCACGTCGTCGTTGCCCACCCCGCCGTCTGTGTGTCGAGGGGTGTCCAACTGGAAGCTCTTGCTCGTGTTTGGGGTGGACGGGCCGTTCTGCGCCCCAGGACCCAACTACTGCTCGTCGTCGATCACGGACAGCTGCCCTGGCCCGCAACGCGGCCTTCCCTATGGCTCGTACTGCGCCAAGCTGCCCACCGGGCGCTTCGGCTGTCTCCCGCACACCACATGCGACGACGGCACGACGTTCGAAGACGGAGAGCTGGGCCCGGCGGACGACACGCCAGAGCCGGTCACGGACGCCCCGTCGTCCGGCCCTGTCTACGACGAAACGTCGGGCTGCTTGCTTGACACGAACGTCCCCGACCTGGACGCGTGTTCCGACGACCAGCTGCTCAAGGGCGGGTGGGCCCCCATCAGCGTGCAGGGCCGGTACCACTTTTGCACACGCGTGACTCCCCAGTTGCCCACGTTCTGCGTCGCCGACATCGTGGGCAACTGTCCCACCGCCCAGCCCGGCCTTCCCTACGGCTCCGAGTGCCGGTTTCTGCCCAAGACCAAGGTGTACGGGTGCGTACCCCGCACCACCTGCGCCGAAAACGACCCACCCACGACGACTCCCGCCCCCACCGGATGTACCTATCCCTCTGCGTAATGCTCTTCCATTCCCATTCCCTCTACGTGCATGCATTCATAAGACCAGTGAACGAGGCTCGTCTTCTGTATCATGTCGCTGTACAAGGAATCGAGGCTTTCACAGTATCATCTACTTTCGGAGTACTCACCAGCACGGGATGTACGTAAAGCGCCTACGCGCCTTGAACGTAATACGGGATGCTGTGTGTATGTGCGAAAGTTGAAGTTTCTTTTAATATATGGCGCGCAGTCTCACTGGGCATTTTCCGTCCAACCTTTGCGAAATAGGATTGGAAGCTTAATTCCGCGATGGAAACCCTCCATGACGGCCTATACCGCTGTCCAGATGATGCCTCCAGCTCTGCAATCTGGAGATTGCTCAGCCGACGCCGTGTCATGGTGCTGAGTGAAATCGCTGGAGTTATCGCCGCCATCGGCGCGACAGCCACAGCACTGGCCGCTATACTTCGCCAATGCTGTGTGCCAACAACAGCGTACGCAGGCGAGTTCGAGCTTGTCCCGATGGCTGGCTGCACTCCATCACCCCACTCAATCACACAACCGGGCCACGTCAGACCCAGCGACTTGACAATTCACTGCGTTCTGGGTAGCGGTGGTTTCGCCGTTGTGTACCTGGCTTCACTCGACGGCAACCTCGTCGCTCTAAAATGCCAAAAATTGGAACCTCATGCTGAACGTGAGTGCGATCTCGTCAGCAACCTCGCTCCACATCCGCGTCTGCCATATTGCATGGGATCGTGCGAGTGGACATCTGCCAGCGGAGCGCACGAGATGTGGACAGTTTTTGAGTACATCCCCGGTGGCGACCTCACCAGAGCTCTTGCGACTCTCTCTTGGTCCCAACGCGCCCAGGTTGCATTAGACATCGCATCGGCGTTGGCATATTTGCACGACAACGACATCGTCCATCGAGACGTCAAGTGCGCCAACATCTTGGTAAGCTCCGCTCCGTCACGTCTAGCCTGCCTGTCCTTATCACGCAAAAAATGAATGGATGCTAGCTCCATGAAGACTGCCGAGCGCGCTTGTGTGACTTTGGATTTGCACGAAGACTGGACGACGACGCAACCTCGCTCGCCGGAGAGCCGCCCTGTGGTCCACGTCGAAAACGCTGCATGACTGTGTGTGGCACCGACGTTTACATGGCTCCGGTACCGCAACCCATGCTTGTAGCAACTGAGTTCTGGTGGACTCAGGAATTGTACTTCGATGAGCCGTTTGATGAACGAGTTGACGTGTTCAGCTTCGGCGTTGTCCTCATCGAGCTCATTACGCGACAAATGGTACCCCCGTGTCTTTCCCGCTTGCGATCGCCAATGTGCCAACCAGGTCCACTGCGATGGTTACTTGAGGCGCACCCCGGCCAACCATTTTGCCATCGACATCGACGAGTTCAGGAGCCACGTGCCACGGACCTGCCCTGCATCGCTCGTGTGTCTTGCAGAAATGTGCGTTGCGGTCGACTCGGACATGCGGCCGACTGCCCTCGAGGTGGGATCGATCATCAATTTAGAGCGCACGTGAATTGCTATCGTAGATTGTCGAGTGGCTGCAAGATCTCAAGGCAGAGCTGGACGACGGTTCGAGTGACTGCGACACGGTGTGTACTGACGATGACGACGACGGTTCATGCATCACCCCGCCGACCACCGATGCGTCTTTCGTGGCCTTCGAAGGCACGCTCTGGACCAAGGAAGCAGGACACTTCCGAGACGAGTGGCAATCGAGTTTTGTGAGTGTGTGCAATGGCCAAGTCACTGTGACCACAAAAGATAAAACCACGGTCGCTGCGTTGACCACTTGGGCAAGCGTAGCCATGGTACGAAATCGTGATGCTGTAGCTGGGCAACCCGTGACGAACTCGCCTGGTTGTAGAGTCCAGATGCGCCAAACCAACTTGTGTTGCGCATGCATGTTGCAGATGGATCCGGAGACATGGACGTGTGGGTCTGCCAAGCCTCGACAGCGTTAGAGGCGCAACTGTGGAGAGCGAAGCTTGACCACGCCATCAAAACAGCCAAGGCAGCCCAGTCACAGAACTTCGACAACTCCCGGCACTCGATCGTCGTGGTCGACGAGGTGTACACGTGGTTGAGCAACGTGGGTCTATCGTGCTACTTTGCAACGTTCAAGGCCAAAGGTTTTGCGTCGCTCGCGTTTCTCCGAGAGGTTTGACAGGCAACTTCCAACAACGAATGCTTCCTGTGGTGTCCACTTTAGGCTGGCCTCGAGGAAGACGATTTTAACTTCTTGGGCATTCACGACGAGGATGACCGAGCGATGCTGGTCGGGGCGATCATCGATCTCCGCGAGTGCGATGCGGTCCCGCTCGGAACGTCGCCCCCAAGCATGTATGTGTCAAGAGAATCGTCGAGATGGTTCAACACGCAAGATGGTGTGCATCACGAGTGGGCAAAGGCCGCCACACCCTGCGAGCGACGAATGTAACATGTTGTAAAGTAAAACGTGCGCTGCGCGGACTTGGTCACGATTCTTCCTGGTTGTTGTCGCCCAGGTCCATCGCGACCTGGGAATTCGAACTAGCCGGACCGCCTCCGAGGGTTTTGGTGTCGTCGACTTCATCGTCGGTCGAATCTTCGTCTTCGTCGTCATTTGCGTGCTCCCCGCTTGACGACGCGGCCGACGTTCGTCGAGTTGGCGCCGCGGACAAAGCAGTCGATCCCCCGTCGGATGGGTGCATCGACGACAGCTGCACACTGCTACGCCGACGGACGAACCCGCCGTTGTACTTGTGCGACCGATTCAAGATCAAGATCCGATCGCGTTCAACCAAGAGGCAGCCGCTTTTTGCTCGCTACAGGACAGCCACCATTGCCACACGATGGTTCGTCACTACTCGATGCCATACCTTCCCCAGGCCATGGTCCTTGGAGGTTGAAAACACCGTGAGGACGCGCGCGGATTTACTCAACGACACGCCCTGGCTACACGCTTCATGCGCTCGAATGATGTACGAAAAGTTGTGCCGATGGAGAAAGTCGTCGATCGCAACGTTTCCAAACGATATCGAGTTGCCGCCACGAGCGCTCTTGCCAAATCCGTATTTGTCCAGAGTCACCTCCTACGCAATCAAATCGAAACCAACCACGTATGAGACCATCGCCCCGCCAACAAACACCGCCATGTACTTGCGCTTCGCAGGCCGGATCGGCCCACAGCATCTCCTCGGCCATTTGGAGCAGCTCAGCATGCTCGTCCCCGCCTTTGGTCGGCGCCTTGCCCAACGTGTCGAACGACGCCAAGCATGGAATCTGGATGCATTCGCGTCAGTACACGCCTCACAGGACGCCACTCCCCCCGGTTCGATGGGGTGGTTCGTTACCGTTTGAATCGAGTCGAGTTGATTTCGCCCGCCGACCGGTCGGGGAATACCTCCATGGACGCAAAAGATGTCTTCGTCGATGACTGCCGACACGGGCATGCAATCAAATGCGTTGTTGACTTGGTGCCACACATTGCACCCTTCGTCGTTCCCAAACCGCTTCTTGCATTGCGCGAGGAACGACCCCGTGCCGTAATGCGCTTCCCATCCGTTCACGGCGCGGGTTTCATGGTTTCCTCGGAGGAGCACGACTTTGTGTGGGTGCATGATCTGCGGTCGTTAGCGTCGACTACAAATGCTGCGCGGAGAGATGCCGCACCTTCTGAGCAAAGAGATACGCCACGCATTCAAGCGACGACAGGCCGCGATCGACATAGTCGCCCAAGAACAAAAACGTGCCCGCCGTGATCCCAATGCCGAGGCGCCACAAGTGGTCCGAGAAAAACTTGAGATCCGACAAGTTGCCGTGGATGTCGCCGATCACGTACGCGGGACTCTATGCACGTCCGTTCAGCGCATGCACGTTTACCTTTGCACGTACCTGGATTGGGACACAGCGTGGCTCGTTCTGGAACAGCACCGACACTTGGTTGACCATCGCGAGGAGGTCTGCGCTGAACTCGAACGAGTTGAGGTACTGAATCGCTTTGAGAGGGTTTACAAACGCCTGGAGATGGCAGCGCCGTGTGAAAACGCACGATCCACGAGACCACGCTACCTCGCTGACGCGCTCGGCAACTCGATTTGGAACGTGCTTTGGAATCGACCGAAGTACGTGCCCTGTCGCGACGCTGACGTGGCGTCCTATGCTCGTCGTGATGCTGCGCGTCTTGGTGCCTTCGTCGGTCACAGAGAACACGGCGGGGGCGACCGACCGCGGGATTTTCACCTTGTCCTTGGGTTCGCTATGCTGGACCTGAAGCTCCGCCAGTTGGTCTCGCAGCCGCTGCGCACAAACATGAGCTCGAGATTCATAGCAAGTCATCTACCTTGATTTCGAGCAGCTGCAAAGCTTGCGTATGACTGCATTGGGAGCTGCATTGCACTGGAGAAGGTGCTTGGAATGCCATGACATCGGGTGTGGCGCCGGCAGTCGCCGGTGGACGTGGGCTGCTTGCGCAACGGCGAGACTTGGGGCTGCGAAAGGAGGGCTGCTTGGTCGGCGACATAACTAGTGTCGGCCCTAAGTCGTGCTTGAGGTCCATGCTGTGGAGATGACAAGCTAAACCCAAGCTGGCACACACCGCCAAGGTGTTTCAACACGGCACCAGCGGTTTCGGAATCCGAACGAAACCCCCCGACGGAAGAGGGGGGTCCACATGTGCAGGGATCGCCTTCGTGTCTTGTTAGCGCGACCGCCGTGTGGACGCCATTCCACGAGAACTGTGGGGCTTGGGGGCCATAAAGGATGGAGGGGGAATGGCGTTGGGTTTAGAAACATCCATCTTGTTGTACGAACATATACCGCATTCTACACCGCGCTAGATCGCAAGAACGATCCGCTCCGCCCACACGGAGCTACCAATGTGCAGCAGCGACAACCTGCCGCGGAAGTCGACCGAGTTGGCTGGGAGAATGACGTGGAGCAGTTTCGTCTGTTGTAACGACCCCATTTTGGTAAGACGACACAACCACGATGACCATACGTCAGGCGGCCATGATGCTGTCGGTCGAGGACATGAGCAAGGTAGTAAAAGCGAGCTGGCTCGTGGAAGACGCGTTCCGAGGGTTCCCTCGGGCACACCCCAAACCGACGACACAAGCGTTGCAGACGTACAAAATGTACCATCGACTAGTGTCCGTCCGACAAGCGACCGTGTTCGTCTTGCTCATGCTCACGTTTGTCGAGACGCCGTATTGGTGCCATGACGCGTGGCCTCATCCATGCGGCGACCCGTTGGAGCCGACAACGCCTCTGACGTCGGGCATGCTCCTGGTATCGCGTGGGAAATCTGTCGTAGTCGAGGTAGCGTGCCTCACGTTTTGCCTGGTCAACGATGGTCTCTTGTTCCACTCGCTCGGGCGCAACTTCTTCACGCGGCTCGACCGGTACGTGTCGACGGCATGTCTACATCGCTCCCTGGAACCATTGCTTTGTGCTCTAGCGTGTGTGCGCTGGGCTTGTTCTGCACCGCCCTCGTCAATGCACTGGTGCGGTTTGCCACAACGTGGTCATGGACCAGCCGCCTCGCGCCGTTCCTTCGTTTGTTCATTTTCGCGCTGACGTTTCGATCGATTCGAACCACATATCGCAAGATGTACCTCGTCATGGCGGAAGTCCACAACATCATGTCGCTCGTCGCCATGTATGTGGGGTTCTTTGCCTGGCTCGCCACGGTGCTCTTCCAGGACACTGAAGAAGGTAATGGACCGTCATGATCCTGCGCCAACCGTGTGTTGTAGCCGGCGTCATGCGGTCGTTCGTCGAGTCGGCATGGCAGCTCCTCGTCCTCCTCACCACGGCAAACTTTCCCGACATCATGATGCCAGCGTACACCAAGAACCGCGCGTATGGCCTCTTCTTTATCGTGTTTGTCGCGTTTGGGCTGTTTTTCCTCATGAACTTGATTTTGGCCCAAGTGTTCAACAATTTCCAGCGCATCGCGGCATCCGATCAAGCAACTGCAGTTCGTAATCGGACCGCCCTATTGACCCAAGCCTTCGATTTACTCGTGACGATCCAATCGGACCGCCACCACGCTCTCGTGACGCGGAATCAAAGCCCCCGTCGCGGCACCTCTCGACTCTCTCCACCAAAGCCCTCGTCGGTGCCGCCTCTCGACACTCTCCACCAGCGGGCGCCTTCCCCTCCGAAACGCCTACAAGTCGGGGGGCTCAACCCCTTGCTTCCTCCACTTGCCCAGGAATCGCCCGTGCACGAGGAGTCTGTGTGTACGTGGATCGACACCGACCTTGCGCTTGCGCTCTTTCAAGAGCTCAACCATTACAACGTCGCGTCCACTCGCCTCACGAACAAGCACATGCTTGAATTGTTTTGCCAGCTCGACACTGACGGCGACGGACGCATTCAGCTCGACGACTTCTTCGCCGTGTGCGACTGCATGCGCGAATACGTTCAAGCGTACCACAAAGCCCCGTCCGAGGTCGAGCGATGGTGGCCTCACGTGGCCTCTTCTCAGCGCTATCAACAACTTTGTACGGCTCCAAAATTCCACAACACGAGTTCTAACGTGCGGTGGGTAGGCGCTGTCGTGCAGCACAGGCGATTTGAAATTGCCGTAGACAGTCTCTTGGTTCTGAATGCCGTGTGCATTGTGCTGGAAACGTCCACCGCAATCGACACCAGCAACCTCGCCGAAACTCGACCGTGGGAGATCGTGCAAATCGCATTCTCGTCGTTGTATGTTGTCGAGATGGTTCTCAAGATCATGGTGCACGGCTGGCGCGACTATGTGCACTCCTTTCGCAACCGATTCGATGCCGCGATCACGATCGTGTCCCTCGTCGTGGATATCTACGCCGACCTGCCCAACGAATTTTCAAGTCACACTGTGCCCAAGGTCCTCATGACGTTTCGGTGCGTGCGGATGCTTCGCCTCTTCCTCTCCATCGAGCGGTACGCATTGGTTTGGATAATCTCCATCGTTCGCTGAAACAAAGCCCAACGCGGCCACGCCATGCGTGCTTTCCACACGACGTGGTTGAGGTGATTCTGTTGTAGGTACCGAGTCATCCTGCACACTGCGTGGGCAATGGTTCCGATCGGGAAAAACCTCCTCCTCGTCATGTTTTGTAACTTGAATGTGTTTGCTCTTGTCGGCCACCAACTCTTTGGCGGGCGCATCTCTCCCGCTGTTCTCGCAACCGACCGCTTTGCCAACTCGACGTACGCCGCAAGTGGGTACGCTGCCAACAACTTTAACGATATCCCGAGCGGCATGGTGACGCTGTTTGAGCTCTTGGTCGTGAACAACTGGTTTATCATTGTCGAGGGCCACGTCCTGATCTCGACGGTGTGGGTGCGGCTCTTCTTCATTGCGTTCTGGCTCACCGGGGTCATCATGACTCTCAACTTGATCGTGGCTTCGATCCTGGTACGGTCAAGGTGGCGGACGACTTCCCTCAACGAATATGCCGTGTGATTTGGTTAGGATGCGTTTTCCAAGGAGTATGCTGCCGCAGCATCCAAGACTCCGTCAAGCACTGCCGCGTCCCCGACCAAGCTCGAGATCAAGTCGTTTGTGGCGCCGCCGACGTCGCCATCGCGACATCGTTTATCCCATCAGCGCATGGTGGCGTTTGCCAGTTCACGTGATGGAGGAAACGTGGAGCTCTTGGACGACGAGTGCCGATCTGCTTGAATGTATCTTGTCGGCGTGCCATGTGAATAAAAAAAAGGGAAGCTGTGCAATGGCGTTGACATGAGGGTGCAGTCAAAATCTGGAGTTGGGTTGTTGTTTATGTTACAAAAATTCGTGGCACCCGCTATGCGCGGTCGTCGGGGGGGTCCAGACAGCAGCAAACGAGCCGGATCCACGACCACGTCTTGGACGAGAAGGGCCTCGCCGTCAACGTCACCGACGGAGGTGGCAGCAGCGACGACGTTTCAGTCTGTTGTGTGGCGGAGCCCAACACTTCAGACACCGTCACAGACCGTGCAAACGTGTTTCGCTCTTCTGTAATTCTGCTTGTCGATTTTTTTATCACTTCATGTGGCATCCGATAGGGCGGGGCCGCCGTGCCACCAGGCTTGAACTGTTCTTCGTTGAGATTTCTAAGCCCCAGCCACCTGCGCAAATTTTTTTCTCGCGTTGGGGACGCCAACTGTACAAGTCGGTTTCCCAGTACCTGCACACTTCGTTGCACCTGTGCGATTGCAGAAACTTCTCCATGCCTTGAGTGCCCAAGTTGCCGATGCCAAACCCACGCCCGTCGGCCTGGCCAAGCCTCGTCAGAATCCGAGAACGAAGGACTGCATCTTTCGTACGGTGTGAATTTGAGGATCTGTGTAGCTGTCGTTGACGCCTTGAATGTCGACCACCATCAAACGGTAGTCCGACGAAACAAACGTAAAGTGCGAAAACGCTTGCGGTGTGTTTCGTTCGCGCTCGACAGTCGAACTCGTGGCTGTCCCAACAAACCCATTGTTGTTGCTGTACTTGACGTACGCCCCTGGGAGGTACTCTTCGACGCTGCACAACATGTTTTGCCGGTCGCGAAGCTGTCGACCGATTCCCGCGACGAATTATCCATCACGTGGCCAAGGCTGTGAAGCATAGGGCGTTTACCTTGAGTAACCATGAGCTGGCGTACTTGACCTTCAAAGGCGGTTCGTGCTCATTGTATAACTTGGCATAATGAGCACAAACCGCTTGCATTTCCACGTCGCTAGTGGCCATGGCAGCAGTTAACTTGGCCAATGCCACTGCGGCGGTACCACAAGTAAGCGCTTGGTTCAGCCGATCCCATGATAACCTTGGCGACGTACAGCTTCGGATCCCCCTCGCCATGCACGCCCAAGTCCTACCAGACTCTCGTCTTCGGATTATGAAAATGGAGAATTCGACAAACTTGTAGAAAGTATGCATTTCGCAGTTGGCCCGTCGCAAACGGAACTAAGTCGAGCTTGATCACGACGTGACTCGAGTTCCACTAACGCACAAGCAGCAAGGTCAAGAGGTCGTCGTCACGTCGGTTGGATACCTCGAGGGTATCTGGGTCGAAACTCAGTTTCTCTGCCGATTCCTTCATCATGTGACTGAAATCCGGCGGGTTATGCGGCACAACAGTCTTCATGATGGGCTGAAGTGATGGTGGCTTGCTCCGATGACCTACTGTCCAAGATGAGTCGCGATGGGCACCAAGAATTCAGCGGAGAATCTGTGTACTCCTGTCGGTACTTGTCCCCGTCATTTCGTTAATGATTTGATTTTTGCGTTCCTGTCGCGAATCAGTCGAGCAATACGGCCCCCAGAGCACAAAAACTTACCACGTATTCGTCGTGGGTCAGGTGACCGATGTCAAGCAAGAGCTTGAGTGTGTTTAACTTTTCAAAATGGCTCTGCTTTTGCTTCTCGATCCTTTTCTCCTCAATAACGATACTCCCGTGCCGTCCAGTTAAGTTTGGGACCACCATGTCGGCGTCTTCATCTCTCGACTCGGAGATTGCTGTGAGTTGAGGATACTGAAACATCGGTACGTGCATCGCCGCTGCGGTGGTAGATCTGCCTTCGTTCGTCCGTTCTCCTGACGCAGGGATCATATCACGCTCGATATGCAGTTCTTCCTGTGTACAGGACGCACATGAACAACATCAGACGCCGCGCGCCATCATGTCGTCCGCTTCCTACCTATCTTGGTCGATTGCGCACAGCAGCAGTTCGTTGCGGTGGAACCTATCTCTCTCTCTGCCGCGCTGCGCGAGGAAACTGAATCGGTGTCCGGATAACTGTACTGTTCAAGCACTAGTTTTGAAATAGGTCCATGCACCATACAAATATAGAGTCTTCTAAGACGATTTATTTTAAATGTGTTCTTGTCCCTTCCGCATTCGTGCGATTTAGTTGAACGCGATCCGTCCACGACATGATCTTCAGGCCGCGACCACCCAACGGACCTTACGAGCGTGCGCCGCAGATGTACGATACGCACATGCACATGCTGCGCCAGATGCCTTTGGAAAGATGGACGGCATACACGAACATCAGGATTGCATTCAACCAAACATCTCGCCTGACACTGGGTCCATGTGCATATTCACGTTGGGGCCGCATGCAAAGTGTACGACCGATCCATTCGGGTACACGGCAAAGATGTTGGTGTCGATACGCTTGCGACAGACCCCACAAGTCGTCTTCGTATCAATCTCCACCGACTCGGAGAACTTGTCGACGCGCTCGCACTGGACTTGGAGGTTGTATATGTTGGACAGGTTTCGCGCCAGCGTCGTCTCGCGCACCTGAGCTCGTCCAAGTTATGAGGTTACAACTTGTTCACCCACTTTCATGTACCTCATGGGCGCTGTGGGGAAGCAACTGGCTGAGAAAGTCCATCACCTTGACGAGTGGAGTTGATGCCGGAATGAGGTTGAGGGCAGCTGTGCCGTTCAGGGCCTTGGCATGACGGGCCTATTGCATGACACACACATGAAATCAGGAGTCGAGAAGCATTCATGACTTTTAACCGTTCAATCAATTCGGGTGACTCCATCGAGCCAAACTTCGTACCATCAACAGGTGCGCATACTCTGCCATGTCGGCGTCTTTCTCCTTGAAGAGTAACTCGAGCAACTTGAGTAGTGCTCGATTCGAGGTGCCTCCCTTGCGCGACACGCCGTACTTGAGGCAGTACGCTTCGCCGCCCGGAACATCGTTTTCCGCAAGCAACATAGCCAACGCGTCTTCATGGAACCCGCCGCGTCCGCTCACCACGAGCAATTCTTCGCGCAGGGCCGGGGCCGTTTTCACTTTGGCCATTAACGCACCTGCGTCGTACGCCGACTCTGGAGCTTTCAGGTACTTGAGAAGTCGCTTGCGGGCGTCACCGAGGGGCTAGTCGACAGCAGCAACCATTATGCACGACGTCAACCAAGCCACGTCTGGTACCGCAGGCTCCTTGCCAGGATGAGACTTGGATGGTTCGCGGCCACCCTTGATTGCCTTGAGCACTTCTTCCAAGTACTCCAACGCCAACCGCGTGTGATGGGGATTCTCCGCGTCCGACATGGTAGTTCCCGCCGACCCTCCTCCTTCCGCATCAACGAGGCTTTCGAGATATCGTTGGACGACAGCCGGATCCGACGCATATTCTTTCAAGTGGGCAACAACATCGCCCGACACAAACGGCTTTAAGTGGCGTGGACGGTGCGTGAAAATTCGCAACGCTTCGTGGGGGTCGGCCTTGAGCACCCATTTCTACAAAGGCCAACATGAACCCTGCCGTAGACGCCAATTATCGCGGTGGGTCGAACCGAATGATACAACACTAGAGGAATGTCGTCCAGTGTTTGGAGCAGATCCACGGCCGCCTGGGCGCCAGATGTGCCGTCTTCGAGCGGGTTTTGCACGTACTCGCCGGACCCCATTCGAGCGTACACGTCTAGGGCGTCCAACGCGCGGCCGTGGCGTTCGTACAGCAGACCCAGCTCAAAGTACAAGTGGTGGTGCATCAAGAGAGCTTGGGACGACCCCATGTCGCAGTGGGCGCCGTCGCCTTGGTTGTCCACAGTCGTGAGAAGGGCAGCAATCTCAGAAAACGATTCGTGCATGATGTAGAGGCGGAGAAGAGCAGTGTCAACAGCTTCGGAACGCTGAATGTCCTTGGGGAACGACGACGACGACGTTGAGACAATCGTCGACGCAGTTCTCGTGATTCCGCGGTGAAAACTTCCGCTAGACGACGAAATTGAGGCCGCGTGGGTTGCCGCGAACTCATTTTCGCGACTCGTGGACCGCGATCGAGGAGGTGTAGCGAACACGCTTTCGCGCGACGAGCTTCGGTCTCGACTACTCCAGCAGAGTGAGTGTAAGCTTAACCCATGTGAGTTCATACGTCGAGTGCTTTTTGACCATTTCCAAGCACTTGAGCAAGGACTTCGTTGCCTGCGAGTACAGTTTGGCATGACCGGCAGAGACAAGCTCGGGGGCCAAGTTGCCCGCGTTGTCCTTGAGCAATGCCGCCAGGACGGAGTTCCAGTCGGGACTGGCGCTCGAGCCACGCGGCAGCACATCTGGCGTGAGAATCGTTGGTTCGTATGCAAAGCTGGGGCTGACCAGGTCCGGAAAAAAGCTCAGCCACTCGCGAGGGTCCATTCCCGATCGATAGATGAACTCGACGGCAGCGTCAAATTCACAGCGCTTCAGCAGCGCAATCGCGACTTGGCGATGGAACCGGCGCATGCGGCTTTTTTGCTTGTCCGCGTTCAAGCTCGAGATGCTCTTCTTCATCAGGTCGGACGCTTCTTCGATGCGACCACGGTCCAGCAGTTCTTGGACCTGCTGTTCCATCGGCATTTGCTCGATTTTGAAAATCGATGTTGTCCCCGTCGCGTTCAACGACGCTACAACAATAACGTCTTCGGAATCGCCGCCCGTGCGCGGTTCCATGTCCCACTTCATGCCGTTGCCAAACATCGCTGTGATGCGCGGAAGGGAAATGGACTACGCATTCAACAACAGTATAGGACGACGCAACTTGCTGGCGAGGAACTGCCCTGGCTGTACCTGCACGAGCGTTCCGTCTTGCATGCTGTGAATCTCGACGCCCTTTTGAGGAATCATGGAGACCAAATACGGCGACGTGTACTCGATGGCAGCGGGTGGTTTCGACCAAGCAATCGAGTTGCGATGGACAGGTTCCCCCGTGAAGAGGAGGAACACGCCCAACGCGTCCATGGCGGACACGACGATCTCTTCATTCGGAAGCAATTTGACCATCGGGTTAGTGTTGCTGTTGATCGTCAAGTTGATCGGAAGGGCTTCGGCAGTTTTGTCGTTGACGAGAGAATATCCACGACGACTGCCCACGATCAACTTGTTGCGGTACCAACCCACAACCTGTACCGCGTGAAGCGATCGTTGTATTTGCCTGCATGGATGAAAGGATGTACCTCGGGAGGGTCGGCGATCGAGAGTTCGCGCAAGTACTTGTATCGCTTCTCCTTCGCTTCAAATTGAAACAGCTGCAACTTTGCCGAGGATGCTGCGCAAATACGAAAGTGCGGCGGTCCGCGTTGGTTCACGCTCAAATGCGTAACGTTGTTGGCCAGGTGAAACTCGGACGACGCCACTCCGAGGTCCGTCGCAGAGTGCACAGTCACTGTGTTGTTCGCCAACACGATTACCAAGCGAATGTGTGGTACGACTAAGATTTGCTGAATGCGCTTCTTGTGGGGCAATTCGTAGACACTCACGGGCTTGTTCGGGTCTTTCCGAGTGTCGAAGAGCACCAAACGCCCGTCTGACGTGCCCACAAGCACTCTCATGGAGTAGTGCACGGCACATTCGACTCGCCCAGGAAACTCCAGAACAAGTGACTGGTGTAGGGCCATGCGCTTCTTCTTGGTTACGTCGCTGCTCGACATGCTGATGTCGTGCCTTCAGTCACTTCCCACGTGTTGCGATTGGATTTAAATTTCTCCATCATGATATTTGCCAATACTCTGAAAAAGGTAAAATTTAGCAATATTTTCGATATTTTCCTTTCCATAAAATTTCGAGTGGGAAAAAACGTCGACAGCGGCCTCAGCGCCAGTGCAACGAGTGCAAGGCTTGGAGCAACCGAACCTCGGCGGACGGGAGCAAGCGCACACCGTGATGCGAAAATAGACTCAGGAAAGCGGAGCTGTGCATCTCGATACTTGCACGGCTGGGCTGGTCCCACGTTGCAATCCGTCCTTCCGCATCAACCGCTGCACAGTACATTCATCGTCTAGACGCAGCGAGACAGAGCCCACCACAACACTTGCTTCTCGTGGGATGATACTTCGTTGCGTTGGTGGCTTTCAGACGGTCGCGTGCATGGAATTCCGCGCGCAAGAGTGTGGTCTCGATATCAACGCGCTACGTACCTTTCACCGAATCCATCATCGCGCAGAGGTATTCGGTCGTAGTGGCGCCATGTCCAGGCTTCCAAGCACGGGCTATCCTTGGCCATCAAAAAGCATAAAAACATCGTGTTATCTTCCTCTCGCTCGTCCTACATAACTTACGCATGACTGCGCTTGTTGATTTCGCTGGCCAACTTGTTTTCCAACTGAATGTAGTTTTCAGCAGGGAGGCCAAGGGCTGCTCGCAAAATGTTCACAATGCATTCACGTTGAGCAAACAGAGCGTTCACGATGGGGGTGCCGCGGGGGACGAGGGGAGCTTTCAACAGGTAGCTCAGGATCGACAACACAGAATGGAAGCGTTCCGTCGACCCGCCTTGCTTGGTGATTTCAATGCGTTCGGCCAGTTCGCAAATAATCACCAAGTCCAAAATGAGCGGCGTCGCCAGCAACGAGTCTTCGCAAGTGTTGTGCATGGCAATCGTGTTCGTGCCATTCATGAAGATCTTCGACGTGTATTCGTCCATGGCGCGCTTCGAATCGCCGACAAATGGCACGTACTTGATGACGACGCAGTGGTCAGGGTGTTCATCCTTATCGAACAAAATGCGGTTCGAGTCCACCATGTCGTCCACAACGTTCGACTTGGAAATCTCCTTGCTGCGGAATTGCTGCGGCGCAGACAAGTTCTTGCCGTCGTTGTTTCCCAAGTGGTTGTAGCTCACAATCGACACGGGCTTGATGCCGGCACCGACCAAAAAGTCAACCAAAACGCTCTTCATCTTGGTTTGACCAGACTTGAAGTCGTCACCTCCAATAAACACCTTGTGGCGCTCAGCCAGCTCGATAGCACCGGGCACAAACGTATTTTGGGGGCTGCCGTTGATATACGACGTGTTTTCCAATATCGATGCGACAGCGAATACAGTCGAGGGCGACACTTCGTCTTCGCCGTTCTTGATCGCTTCCAACAAGTTGTCGGCCGTGTCGTTCACGCCTTCGACAATATCCGAAAAGCGCTCAGTGTTGGCCGACCACAACACAATAACCTTGTCCAACGAGTTCTTTTGCTTGAAGTCGCGAATGTGTTGGCGGATTTGGTTCAGGTTGTCTTGCTTCGACCCAGTCAGCACGTTGTTGGCGCGGTCAGCTTGGTTCGCCGCAATGAAATCGGGGTAGTAGATCGACGGCAAAGGCGTGATCTTTTCCAAATGCGGAATCAATTGGCGTTGCAAGTCGTAGTCCAACACCTTGGCGCGGACCATGGCATCAGCCAAGTTGTGGGCTGAAATGTCCCAACCGCCAATCACCAAATCGTTCGGGTTGACCATGGGCAACATGTTCTTGAAGGGCACATACACACCACGGCCTTCCGAGTTCGTGCCAAGACGTACGGTGGAAGACTGGGTAATGGAGCCAAAGTAGTCCGGCTTGTGTTCACCATCCTTGTCGCTCCACGTGATGCCGAGCTTATTTGCCAACACACCAGCCACCAAGGTCGACCCGTTGTTTCCACCCAAGCCGACAATCATCACCCCCAACTTGGGGATCTTGGTAGATGTTTTGAACAAATATTGTTCAGCAACAGGGGTGGCAACGTTGCCTTCAACGTACGTCGTTTGGTACGTGTAGTTGGCTTCGATGTGGGTGGCCGTGTACTTGACGTCCTTGCTGTTCACCTTGAAGGGGTCGTTCGTGAAGGCGCTGGAGCTCATGGTGCGAAACGTGTCGTCGTCGGAACCACGCAAATTCGAGAATGAATTTCGTCGCCGGAATTACATCCAGGCGTTGGGGCAAACCTCCGTGGCTGTTACATTTTGACTTGATCTTTGTATACGATGGTGTCGTTGGGGTCCAAAATCATGGTCATTTCCAACGGTTAAAAATAGGAATTCTCTTGGAGTTTGTATACCGCCGGATAAAAATGGTTGACATCACAAACTTGTACAGGTGACGAGGATGCGCACAGTCACCCAAGGGAGATTCGAGGGAAGGACCCATCTCGTACAGAAGGGATGGAGTGCATTGCCTGTCCACCGACGGGTGCCGCTGAAAACGCAGATCATATGATGCAAACGTGAGGACGGCGTTGACGAAGCCGTCAAGCAGACCTCTATGCCGCCGCAGCGGCGTGTCGCAGTCTTTACATCGACATCGGAATGGTAATCCCATACAGATTGCAAGCTGTGCAGGATCGTAAGGAAGTTCTCCGTCGACGTGATGATTGATTACCAAGCCCGACATTTCCATGTACCAGAGGGTGACACAACGGCTGTGGTTGCGTCGGAGGATGGTCCAAGTGTTGAGTCGCATGCTCATTGCGGAGGTCTACCCCGTGCGCGGCTTCCGCGTGCCATTGTGGCGTTTGATGCTCTCTTTTTTCTTGGCACTCCATCTCGAGGCTTTCTTAGCCGATGGATCGCGCAACGTGGTGCGGTCGGTCTTGTGGCGACGCGACGATTTGCCCTTCTGCATGCCCCCTCCGCCCGACTTTTTGGATGGCCTTGACGTAGGTGCATCACGACCGCCTCGGCCAGACGGCTTCTTTGCAGGCTCCCGACGTGCTGCACGACCCTTGGAATTGGAAGGTTTGGCCCCAGGCGACAAACTCCGGATCTTGTGCTTGTGAGTCCCGCGCACCACATTCGCCTTTTTTGAGGGCGTCTTCGCCGCGGGGATTGCCGCGATGGCCACCGGTCGTGTGGGCGAAGCAGCCTTGGGAGACGCGTTGCGTCCACCGAAAGGTACTGGTTTGGCAACGGCGGGGCGCCTCGACGTCGGTTTGGCGCGGGAGTACCCTCGCTTGTACGGATTGTCTTCGCTTCCACGGAGGAGGAGGCGAGCAGGGACACCAATCATGTCAAACTCGGTGCGCAATTGATTGAGGAGAAAGCTACGACCGATTCAGCCCGAGAGGACAACGACAACAATTCTAGCGATGAACGCACCGTCGGTACGACTCTGGGACGTCTTCGGCCTTGTTCACAAACAGCGCAAAGGTCGGTGGGCGGGCTTTGACTTGGGTGATGTACTTGACCTTGAGCGTCTTTCCCTTGACTGTCGGTGGCGGGTGATGGCGATCCATCGCGGCCATCCACCGGTTCAACCGCCCCGTTGTGACACGCAAATCCCATCGATTGTGGGCCGCCACGCTGCAGACGTCGTCATGAATCCCAGCATCGCCATTGCGGAACCAACGTACACTTCAGGCAAAATATTGCGGATGCCTTTGCCCTTGAGGGCCGAGATCGACACGATCGGCACGCCACGGACCTAAGGCACAAAGGATGGGCCTGGAATGTCGTGCTGAAAGTAGATGCAAGAAGATTGTACTTGAGCAAGCGATCCATCCAGCTCCTTTCGAATGCGCTCGATCTCAGCTTCCGCGTCGCCGACCAAATCGGCCTTGTTTGCCACGAGCACCAGCGCTCGACCTTCATCGAGGACCTATTGCATGAGGGGTGACGGTGAGGAAACACACTCTAGGACGGCCGCACGCAGCCTACCCGTTGGGCAATGGTCAAGTCCAGGTGAATCAAGTGCTCTTCGCTCACGTCCACAACCACACACACAACTTGAGCCGAGCTGATGGCGTCGTATGTGTCCCGCACCGACAGGTTCTCAATTTGGTTGGAGTGGTCGCGCTGCGACCAGCTATCATCAGTTGCAACGTCGAGGATGACTGTACCTTGCTAAATCTGCGAATCCCGGCCGTGTCGACGAGGGTGATTTCGCGACCCTGGAACTCCCACTTGACTTCGACTGCATCGCGTGTCACCCCAGGTCTACAGCACCCATGGCAAACACTAGACACATGTCTCCAGACGTACTCGGGGCCTGTTAACACGCGATTGTCTCGCACGATCTTGTTGAGTAGAGTCGACTACACACCGAGTTCGGCCCACTTGCCATCAAAAACGCGAGGATTCGTGTCAATGTCTACCTTGCCCACGTTCGGGCGGCCAACAATTGCGAGCTTGATCGACCGTGGCTACGCATGCCAGTGAAATCAGGGTCCATTCGAAGCAGCAACTCTGGAATTGCATCGTGCTGCGAGCGTACGCTGTCGAACGAATCGTTGAAGCCTTCGTCATCCGACGACAGTTCCGATGCAAGAGCGGCCTTTTCCGCGGCCACTGCTGCCGCATGTCCTTGGACAAGGGGTTCAAGCAGGGGGACGAGGTCCGTCAGACCTTCTCCGTGCTCAGCGGAGATTACCAACGGCTCCCCTACACCGGAATTCCTCAGCATTTTAGTACAATTATGATGTGATGGGCGGACGTACCCATGCCCAGCTGATACGAGTCATGGATGTTGCCGAGCCATTGCGTGGCGTCACCTTCCAGCTTGTTCGCGACGAGTTGGATCGGAGACTGCGGGTCCGCTTTGCGAAGCCACCTGGAGCACCAAACACGAACTTGACTGCATAAATTGATTTACTTGATCATACCGAGCGAAGTGCTTGTCGATTTCTGTGACGCCTTCACGACCGTCGATTAGAAACAGAATTAGGTCAGCTTCGTGGAGAGCCCGTTCCGTTTGGTCGAGCATGCCCCGTTCCAAGCTACATCCGAAGAGGTGATTTGAGAACTTGTGGGAGCTCCTGGTATGATTTACCTTCCAGTGGGTGCATCTGCCAAACCGCCCGTGTCGATGACGTCAAACTCGAGTCCGGCCAAGTAGCCCTACGGAACATCGAGTATGGCACAGTTAGCATGTCTCAAGATATCGCTGCGTGGAGAGGATACGTACCACAGCAAAACGGCGATCGCGCGTTGTTCCGGGGACGTTGTGCACGATAGCACCGCGTGACTTGGTCAACCGGTTGAAGAGCGTGGACTTGCCGACATTTGTTCGACCGACAAGAGCAATACGCGCTCTCTCAGGGAGTTGTGGGGCGCTTTTCGTCGAGAATAGCACGTGCGACTTGAGCGGAGCCAGCGTCGGCAGCGCTCTCGAGCGCAGGAACCGCAGCATCGGAAAAAGTTGATGGTTGAAGACCAGCAAGCCAATCAAATCTGGTGGAGTTGGGCCATACGTATCCGGATTCTTTACCGGACGGTTACAGCACCTGCCACTGTACCTCCAAGAGATGGGCACGGAGGAAAGCGATCGACGCCGCGCATGGAATTTCCTTCGAGTCCAAGTACAAAGGCGTGTAGATTCATGTACCCTTATGGCTGGCATTGGTGTCTTATACGTGATAGTATGATAGATAAGGTTTTAGTGGCCTTTCAGATGAGTGAACCATTCGACGGCAAGGCCCCGGAGGTGGTTAGTTGAGCAAGCAGTGGAATTGGCCGCTAAGGCTGATGTCCTTCTTCTCGATTGTTTTTAAAGCGTCGAGGAACGCCTTGGAAATGGTCAGACTTGTTACCAAGACCTTGTCACCGTGAAAAATCACCACAGGCATACGAATGATGACCCTGAATCCTTCTAGTGCTTCATCGATGTGGGATGTTGAGGACTGGTCGAACGTTCATCTTGTGGCGTGCTTGAGTGCGTCAGCTTCGAAGTCCTCGACTAACGACATGTTTCGGCTCAGCACTTGCAAGGAATAAGTCCTTCGGAGATGGAAGACTCCCGAATTAGCTGACACCGCATGTACAGGATCCACAGAAGGCAGAGTTTTCCACTAGGGCGTCAGCAATTCGAGCACCACCGCGGCCGACTACTGGACCTTGAGCGCCAAATTGATGTCGACGCCACTTGCGGGTGCGAATAGCAAGAGACCATCCCATGCTATTGCCTTCGTAGCTGCCGTCACGGCCACAAACAGATAACCCACTGAGATGTCACCAACTGTGTAGCGAATGTTTGACATGCTGCAATGCACATCATGAGCGTCTTTGTAGTCGAGACGGTGAATGCGCGTCACAATTCAAGTTTAAACAAAGCACAAAGCCAACGTAGCGTCGAAGCGTGATCCTTGTTGTACAGTACATGTTTCGAGTGAGAATGGTCTTGCAAAGCGCCTACGGGCTGAAGAGGAAAATCACTACGCGCGATGCCGAGCGTAGGCGAGTTGACGAAACGGAACCTGAAGGGGGATTCTGTCGGCATGGTTATGGGGAGGAAGTGCGAAGGCGAAAGGGGATCCGAGGACGGAACTCGACGCAAATCACTCGAAGCACGAGGGTGGCACAGCCACCCCGGTATTGCTCGGCTGTCCACCTTAGCAATTCATGGATGTAAGTTATGTTTATGCTTCCTACAGACGCTGCCTCCCTCGATACAGCAGCTAATCTTGCTTGAGCTTTCGCCCTCGATACAACGTTGCTTGGACTGCCAAAGCAGCCAAGCCAGTCATGTTGTTTGAAACGTGATGCGGTACCGTGAATAGACTGGCAATGGTCGCCCGTCGAGCTTTGATGTGGGGGCTGTCGTTGTGGTTGGGCTTGCGATGCGGCACCTTCCGCTTCGGTGGCTCTTTCGTGGACCTTGGCATGATTCAAATAGCCTCGCCAACCGACTTCGTTGATTCCGTCAACGTCCATACCAAACCCGACGTTTCAACGCGCCCCGAAACAGTTTTTGAGATCTGATGCGCCCCGCGAGCCATGGACCTCCACGTTGAGACGAAACATGTCACGACCGACGTCAGCCTTCACGTGCCGCCTCGCCACAAGAGCCATGTGCACGAGGTCTTTCCGATCTTCGAGCTACCGCGTCCCGTCAAAATCTCGTGTGGCTAGGCGCCACTGGTTATGCCGCAATGGGACAACGACGACAGCTCCGACGACGACGACGGCCCTTCGCCATGCGATATGGACAACGAAGCAAGCCAAGACGACGACAACCAACCCTCTCCTCCATTGGATCCCGTCGCGTTCAACTGGGACGGCGTCGGGGATATTCAAGCTCTCCAGCTCAAAAACTCGGAACTGGTTGCCACGATCAAAGACTACAAGCACCAAGTGACAGAGTACGGGCTCTGCTTGATATCCTTCTGCGGTTTATGCGTTTGTAGGCTTCAGTTGATGCTGGAGGCAATGGAGCCGATCCCTGGCCTCGACGTGAATTCCCTACGAGACGTGCTCCAGGGAGCCGAAGTCGTCGACCACGTAACTACCGGCAGGAGTCGTGAAAATAAAGATGACCGTACATGTCGCGCAGGATATTCGCGATGTGAAGATCGTCCATCAAGCCAAGAAACTGCGGCAGGCGAAAATCGCCCTGAACAAAGAAAAGGTCAAAGGCGCGGGGGCGAGCGGTCGCATTGCTGAGCTGGAGAAGCAGCTCCACGACGCTGAAGAGAACTATCACAAGAGCCAACGACTCGTGCATAAACTGCAACTCGGGGAGAAGCCCGAGCCAAAGCCCGAGGCCACGACGAACACAGTGCCACTCAAGAAGTTCGAAGACTTGCGTGTGAAATACGAAGCCGCCACTATCGAGCTCAAGAAGACACAGCGCGCCCTCCAGCGGGAAGTTGGGGACGATGTCCCTCTCGCCGACGTCCTTGACGGTGAGGGAGGCAAACGTGGCCGGGCACAGCAAATCGTCATGCTGAAGGCCAAAGTGAAGAAGTTGGAGAAGGAACTCCAGTCGCGCTCGGAGCCAGACACGGTTGGTTCCCGCGGTATTGCTGGTCCAAAAAGTCTCACGGCCGCATAAGGGAGTTGACGCGAAGGCCGAAGTCGAGTTGTTGGCGCTTAAAGTTGACAAACAAAAGCTCCTCGACCAAGCCGTGGCGGACCTGGACGCCTTCAAAGACGCCAACGACAAACTGAGCCGAAAGTACGATGCGCAGAAGGCCCGATTGCACACGCTCGAGAAAGACGCGACCAAAAACAAGGCCAAGATCTCGGTGCTGTTGGACAAGTCCAAGAACGACGACTCGCTCATCGATGCCCTTCAAAACGAAATGGACGGTCTCCGTCGTCAAGTCACGTCCAGTGGGGTTTCCAAAGGTTGAGTAACAAATGTGCATCGCGATGGTCAAGCCGACCCCGTCAGCCTGATCTATCCCCTAGAGCAATGGCACCGAGCCCGCACAGCTGACAGCAGCATCCTCACGGACGCCGCCGCGATGGACGCGTTGCGCACCACCTGCGCTGAACAGAAGCGCCAGCTCGCACACCAAGCAGCGACGATCGAGTCGTTTCGACGGGACTTGCAGCAAGCGGAAAAACTCCAATCGCATCGAGTTGGTGGCAATCATGGCGACGCGGCTACCGGCAATCATTCCCTCGCGGTAAATATTCCTTGATCTTGATATCCCACTCAAGGTCCAGATGTGCGCGTGACCGTGATCTTCGAGCATAGATTGAAAAGGAGCGGCTCGTGGAGCTCGTCAAGTCTCTCCAGCAACAGCTTGATGCGAAAAAGGCTGACCCGCCGCCACCACCGCCAAAGCAAGAACCTCGTTCGGTACGTTGCTACTTCGTGGAGCCTACTACAAGTGTTTCCGTGCATGCAGCGCCTTCCGCGCCTCACGCCGGACTTGTCCGCTGACGTCGACAAGTTGCGACGGACCATTGAGGTGAAGGACGAAGAGATTGCAACGTGGAAGGAGGCGTACGAACGAGCAACAACTGCTGCTGCACGGGTACTTTGTGATCGTTTCACCGATTGTATGTGCTTCATTCATGGCGATGTGTAGACCACTCCATCCACGATGTCAAATTCGCGCCTTGTCGCGGACCTTGAAGAAGACAACGAGCGCCTTCGAAGCCAGGTGGACGAGTTGAAAAGACAAGTCGCTCTGGGCGAGCATCACCGCAAACATGCCGCATAGCATTCGTTGAGAGCGATCTCCAACATGGCTAGATGAAACGTAGTTATCGTGCATAAGACCACGTTGACGAAGACGTGGGTGCTGTGGACAATGGGGCTTGGTTCTTGTTCACGTGGTCACGAATTGCAGCCTCCAAGATATGGCGGTCGGAGAGCACCCGCTGACGAGCTCTTCCGACCAACGAATCGCGCTCGTTATCTTCCATGGCTTGGATCTGAGCCAGCACTTCTTGCAACGTGTGGAGCTCTTGTGTCAACAGAACATTCTTCTGCTGGGCTAACGTACTCTGAGCCTGGTACTCATGCAGCTCGCCCTGTAGTGTTCGCATGGCTGTAGCACAGTCACTCTTGATAGCGTCCCTCTGGGCTTTCAATTTGTCGCGGTCGGCCTTCCATCGGCCTTTGACCTCGCGCACCTTGAGCTCCAAAGCCTTGATGGTCTTGTTTCTCTCGTCAAGGCAAGCTTGGTGCTGTGTTTTGAGTGCGTCAGCCGCCACTTCACACTCCCAAAGGCGTTTGTCATGCCCACTCTTCCATTTTTGCTTCTGCAGTTCAACTTGGTCGAGTTGGCACTCCAGGGCTTGTGCGTGCGCCTTGGTTTCGTCATGGACTGCTCGAAGATGAACTAATTCTTGCTGTAATGGCGCGAGCTGGGCTGTGTGATGGTGCCGGGCCGATTCGAGCTCGTGAGCTAATCGATCCCGCTCGTCGTTTGCGCACTTCAGCTGCCCTTGCATGGTGTGGATGGTGCTCTGTTGCTCATCAAGTCGGCGCTTAAGTTTCTTGTGTTCTTTAACCAACGTTTGATATTCAGCTTCGAAGGTTGGCGCAAGTGGTTGTGGCATCGGGGCCATGGGTGGAAGCTGTGGTGGTGGCGGTGGTTGGCGTAATTTCTCTTCTGCAAGGGCTAGCGCGCGCTGGAGAACACTCTTCTCATTCGCCTCGACGTTTAACTGGTGCTGCATGAATTGTAATTTGGCAGCTGTTTCACGCTCTCGCTCGGCGTGGTTTCGTTCGGTCGTCTTGAGCAACTCCGTCGCAGTTGTGAGCTGCTGGTGGATGCATTCGGTGTACTCCTTGTCTTGCTTCAAGACCATCACGTGGGTCTCTACTTTGGCTTCGCATTCAGCCACCTTAGTGAGAAGCTCTGCCTTGTCCTTTTCCAGAGATCGAATGATTGCTATTGCACAGGAAAATGATCATGGACCCCAAGTGAATACACGTGGTACTCTGTTGTGCTGCAACGTCCATTTCATGCCGCTGCAGCTGCAGACTGACTTGGGTATTGAGTTCGCCCAACTGACTGCACAACAGCTCATAGTTGTGTTTGTACTTCTCCAGGGTTCGCACCCGAAGCGCGAGCACCTCGGCGTTGCTGCCCGCGACCATTGCGCTTGGCATGGTATCTTTCGTTATCCGGAAAATTCCGGTTACACCAGGTGGGAAAAAACGCCCCAGTACAAAATGCTGCCACTAAACGATCGGACACAGAAGTGGCCGACCCCAGAACAGAGACGAACACGCACTGCTCTTGCGTCGAAAGGATTGAAAGGATTGTGAAGCGCGCTGTTGACTCGACACGTGGACGCTGTGCCACGTTGGTGAACACGTACACCTAGGTGATAATTTGCCCGAGTTGGCTGTATTCTACAATATGGTGCTGGTACTGCATCGTGTACCAGCCAGCGTTTGATGAAACCGGCGATATCCACACAAGCCATACGACCTGCAGTTGGTGTCAAGTCGTGGAACCCGACCGTTCGTTCTCATGAGGCAGGCTTGAGTCCGTGCTGTCGTCGTCGTGGTGGATGGATTTCGTCTCACGAGGAATTATCCATGGATATTCCGAGTCAGTTGCGTCGTGGAATTGGCTCAAGTTGTGAGTTTAATACAAAATATCCATTCTTTAACGTCCCTTGCATTCATTCAGTGCAATTCATGTGTGAAAGTACTTTATCGGATGGTGAAATATTTTAAACGGTAGTGAAAATTCAATTCTGAGCAAACAACCAGATCTTGCGCCATAAAGAAAAGTGCGCGGCATGAGCGCAGGATCGTCAACGGCCGGCCTACTGGAGACCCTCACAGGATTCTACCACGTATCGGTTCCGATTGTCACGACATTGATCGTTGTCCTCGGGAGTCTCAGTGGGCTGTACATCTGGGTCGCGTCGCGCCAAGTTCGTCGTCCCAAGAAGCACGCGACATCGTTCGATGACACTTCACAGCCGTCGACGCCGCTGGGAAGGCACATGCGCCGAACACAATCGTTCAGTGAGGCAGATCTCGAAATCGAAGTGAAAAAGCAAAGCAAGAAAGACGCAGATGAACAATCGAGCGAAGACGAAGAAGAAGGGGGCGACAAATGGGCAGCGGCCCAAGGATGGAGTACGGGGCAGCTGGAGATGTTTAAAGTCCTGCGCCAGAAGTTCTTCTCGAACGCAGACTGCAAATTCGTCGGTGAACTTATTGGGTGGGTACATGGATGAATTTTGATCATGTTCGTGAAACGTGGAGTAGGAACGTCGAGGTCCTAACGTTGGAGACGGGCGACGTGATCTTTGGTCGGCGCAAGTACGATGGCTCGCTTCTCTTCGTATCTTCAGGCAGCGTCTGGTTGTCTGCGTTCCATGAAGACCGGTCGTTCGTTCATACTATCAAGAAGCACGAGGGTGTTACTTCTACCTCCGCCATCTTGCGCGGAGTCCTCGAGGACAAGTTTGAGGGCTTGGACATGCAAGCGGTCGCTGCGGAAAGCCCAACGCTGGTGCTTCGCATCAGTGTGGATAAGCTCAAGACCACCATTTCCAAGTATCCTCAAATCGCGATCTTCTTGGCGCATTTGTCGCTGTCGCAGCTTGAACGGATCACAATGCGGTCTCTCATCGACTACTTTGGATACCTTGACGGCCTTTTTTGCCCCATGGCGTACTTTGACGTGCTCAAGAATGACTCGGACACAGTGCGAGGGATTGCAATGACGCTCGGGCTGGATTATGTCGAGCTGCAGACCCAGTTTGCTGGCGCTACGCAGATTCGATCGTTGGAGGACGGCAGTCTCGTCGAAATGCCATCGGGCACGGAAGATGATGATATTGCCGACGTGTACTTTGTACTCGAGGGTGCTGTGTCTGTGGAGATTTTGCTATGCCACCAGAGCACCAATGACGACGAGTTCGTATCGCTCTTTAAAGTGTCGACGGGGTGTTGCCTCGGCATGGCGTCGGCAATTGTCGGCAACACTGGTACAGCCATCTCACTCTTTCTCACCCTGCTGTCCCGATTCAGCATTTGCATCGTCATGTAGGATTGCTCAAGGCGAGATCTGTCATGCAGGCAAAGGCTGTGGGCCGAACACGCGTCGTCCAACTGAACGGTGGGGTGTTTCGCTCGATGCTGCAAACCCATCCAGCGTTCTTTAATCGGTGTGACAACTGGATATTGATCTTCGCTGTCGATGGAAGCATGACATGTGTGTGATGGCATCTAGATGTGTGCAAACGGTGGTGCGGCAGTATGGGTCGCAAGCGGCACTTCTCGACAACTTTTTTGAGCGGGTGCACGTTGACAGCGGCGACGCCATCTACCACGTCGGTGACTCGTCGAATGCCATGTACACATTGCTCACCGGTCGGTTGCGCGAAGTCCATAGTGTACGTTGGCTACGTTCTGATCATCGATCTCTCAACGACAGGTTGGTAGCAAACCAGCAGCACGGGAACAGTCGTCAAGAACACGAGGGAGCTCGTCAAGGGTGCGACGTTGGGCGCCATGGACTTGCTCGCGTCTAGTAAACGGTGCGAAGCATCATGTTAATGTTCGGCAGGAGCTCTGACGTGTTGGGAATTCGACGGCCCATAGGGCATCCACGGTGTACGCTATACGAGACTGTCAGGTGTCGAAAATGCCTCGGGTCGTGCTCGACTACATGCTTCGAGCGCAACCGCAAGTCCTGATTCACTTTACGCGTCAAATGGCTATCCACAACACTGACCGCAGTACGCCTTGATGTGAAGATGTTGGTGAAAACTCATGGGCCGCAGCAGGCGACAACGAGTTTGTGTCGTCACAGGCGAATCGCTCGCCAATGAAGCTACCCGTCACAACAATCGCTGTCCTGTCAGCGACCAAAGGTGTCTCGATCCACGAGTTCACGACGGAGCTGCACAAGGCGCTGCAGACAATCGCAACGACGGAAGTCGTGTCTTCGAGCAAGGCTGAGCGGCACTTCAACGGTCAGTGGCGCAGGTAACTTCAACGAATCGATGTCAGCGCCTTGCACGTCCTTTTCCTTACAATGGCAATGCTCCAGTTTGGGTATGTCGGCTTGGCTGGCAGAAATGGAAAGCTCCCACCAACTCGTTGTGTTCGAGGCCGACGCAGTCCTGACGCCGTGGACCAAGTTGTGTATCCGTCAAGCCGATCATATCTTGCTTGTGTGCAAGGACACTGACCAAGAACTCGACTTGAAGGACCTGAATCCATTGCTTCTTCAGGCGTACTCGATCAAAAACGTTGAAGTCAACATCGTCCGCATGAAGTCCACGACAGCGCACGGGTCTGCAAACACGCCTCCTCTGCATCAAGTCGAGTACGTCAACTATTTTCACAACATTCGTATGCCGCTCCACGAAAACACCAACGACATGCTCCGAGTGGCCCGGAGATTAACTGGGCGGTCGATCGGGCTAGTCCTTGGCGGCGGGGGTGCCCGTGGACTCGCGCACATTGGGATCCTCAAGGCGCTGGAAGAGTGCGGGTTGGACGTGGATGTCGTTGGCGGGACGAGCATGGGCGCGCTCATTGCAGCGTTGTACGCGCAATATCCAAAGGACCTGGAGCGAGTTATCAAGCACGCACGGCGGTTTTCAAGCAAAGCGGCCAACAAACTCGCCAAGTTGTTTGAGTTGACGTTGCCGATTGCGTCGTGGTTTGACGGATCGAGTTTCAACACTGGGCTGCAGCTCGAGTTTGGCATGACGCGCATCGAGGTACGAAAGTTACACATGAACAGCCATCAGGGCGATTCTAACTCAATGTGTGCGGGGGGCGCAGGATTTGGTGCTCAACTTTTTTTGCATCTCAACCGACATTGTCAAGAAGTGCACGGGGGTTCATCGATCTGGCACGCTCTGGCGCTACGTTCGCGCTTCCATGTCCCTCCAGGGATACCTTCCCCCAATCTCCGAACCAAGCGGGTCCCTTCTCCTCGACGGCGGGTACGTCAACAACCTCCCCGCCGACGTGATGAAGGAGGAAGGCGTGAAGATCGTGTTTGCTGTGGACGTTGGCCGAGACAACACGCGTGATTACTTTCACTATGGGGACACTCTGTCGGGATGGTGGGTCTTTCTGAACAAGCTCAACCCGTTTACGCCGACGGTCCAAGTCCCGTCGATGGGCGAGATCACGGACGCGCTGGCGTACGCTGCGTTTTACCAAAACAAAGCGTACGTGATCAACCATTACGTGGATCTGTACTTCAAACCGCCCGTTCAAGCGATTGGAACCCTCGAATTCGACAAGTTGGACCTGACCATCCAGCTCGGGTACGACTACGCCCTCCCCAAGATCAAGGACTGGATGAAGAAGAACCCGCACCTCGTCACGCATGTGCGCCAGCCGCATGGCGCGTCGGCCACAGGTCGTTCGAATTCAACGCGATAATCGACGAATTAATGCTGGACACTCGGAATGGGGTACGGAAGTGACGACGTTGTCAGACCAGCCAAGAGGTTGTCCACGGCTCGGTCAACCATCCGATGCCTGGTTTCGACCGTGGCTGCTCCGATATGCGGCACAACAATGCAGTTGGGCAAGTCGTAGAGCTGCGGAAGTAGAAATCACAGGACGAATGAGGTGACTGGAACGGACGGGACAAACTTACGCGATGGTCGAGGGGCAAAGGCTCCGGCACGGTCACGTCGAGCGCCGCCGCCGCAATTTTCCCCACCGTCAATGCATGCACAAGTGCGTCTTGATCGACGATCCCACCTCGGGCAGTATTGATGAGCACTGCATGTGGCTGCATCATTGCAAAGGTAGTGGCGTTCAGCATGCCCGCGGTCTGCTCGTTGAGTGGTGAATGGATAGACACAACATCGCTGCGACGAAGTAGCGCTTCCAAATCGACAAACTCAGCGTCCACGTCGTTTGGCTTTTCGCGAGGCCCCGTGTACAAAATGCGGCAATTGAACCCACGATGCATGAACCTGGCGTACGTAAGCCCAATCTCGCCCATCCCGATGACCCCGATCGTGTTCCTCGACACGTCCGTGCCGCAGAATCTGAAGGAACAGCATGTGTAAACAAACGATCGACAAGCAGTGGGATCGCCATACTGGTACATCTGAACCACTCCCCACTCGCCATGGCGAGCACCAACATGGCTTTCAAAGAGGCGCCGCTTGGCCGCAAACGTCAGTGCGACGGCCAGTTCGGCGGTGGACTCGTGTAGACATCCTGCGTAGCATGTTCGTGAGTTTTCGTCAAGATGGACGGGAGTGCCTGGTGTGTGGCCGACAAGAATGCCGCGCTCCCGACAGATTGCCACATCGATGTGGTCGAACCCGACGGAAATTGTCGAGACAACCTTCAGTGAAGGACCAGCGCTGTCTAGAACTTTGGCTGATATCTTGTCTGAGATCATGCAGATGATCCCAGCGCAATTTTTCGCACGCGCTTCCAACTCCACTGGAGGAATCGCCGATGCGCTCTGGTCGAAGCAGTCCACATCAATCCATGGATGCTGGGCAAGCCTTCCTGCGCAAACAACACATACACACACATGAGACATGCATCCTTCCCGACTCTCCTTGCCAGCCCCTACCAAGCAGATACGCATTGTTCCTTGTCACAAGGATCTTTCGCTTCGCCGCCGAGGGCTCCATCGCTGCATTTTTGTCCATAGTTATTCAACATCTCACCACCATTAGTTACGCAATTGCTGTTCATGCGCACTACTCAGCGTGCAATTTGGTAGATGCGTGCGCGGAGCCATTGCGATCGCTTCCTGGGGACGCTGTTGAGAAGGAGGCTTTTGTTTCTCACAAAGGTCGCTGCGTTCATGACGTTTCGATGTGTTTCGATGTGCCTGAGCGCCACTTTGGACGGTGCTGAGGTCATGGTGACATCTTTGGTTAGTTCGACAGTGTATTTCGTACGATGTGCCACATTGGCATTTGACGGGTGCAAGGGTGAACATGCTCCGTCGGCTGTACTCCACAGCGGTGGCGCAGGTGTTTGTCCATCCGAGCGCGAAAGTAGATGCGTCGGCGACGCTGTCGCCGTTTGCAGTCGTAGAAGCGAACGCCATTGTATCGTTACCCTCGAACGCGAGAGAGCTGTTCTTACATTGGTCCATGAACAGGTCCATGCGAACTGCAAAGTTGGGTGTGGCACAGTCGTCGGCGAAGGGGTAGTCGTTGGTCCAGACAGCCACATTGGTACAGCGCTCGTGTCGGGTGTATTTCACTTCTGTGCTCTGTACAGGCAGCCATGTCACGCTTGCGAATTGCACCGTGGGGAAGCGTACGGTCATCCATACAGGGACCCGCATCGGCCAGGTGACGACGATGAATCGGCCAACACCATGACTAGCGCATTGAGTCATGGAACAGGACGGGTTTGGCTTCATGTTGAACGACACTGGCGACCACGGAAAGAAGCCACAGGAGCTGGCCGTTGAAATCCACGACGACGTTGAAATTGGGTACGTTATCCCTTCATCTCAAATTTCCATGTTCTTCCTTCGACATGACTCATGGGATTGTACAGGGCGAACTGCACCATCGATCGCGGCAGTTGGCGCAACACTGTCGTTGGCTCAGGCACCAAGATGGACAATCTGGTGCGCGTATTGGAGGGTCAAAGCACTAACGGTGGCTTTTAGATCCAAATCGGCCACAACGTACAGATTGGCCAAGGGTGTGTGCTCGCAGCCCAAACTGGAATAGGAGGTGCCTCTCGCGAGCTCAAGGCATTGCTTGATACTGGCTGGGGATTGGGACGTAGGCAGCACAACCTTGGGCAACCGGGTGTACGTTGGCGGTCAAGTAGGCATCACGCAGCATTTAAAGATTGGCGACAACGTCCGAATTGCAGCCAGGAGCGGCGTCATGCATGATTTGCCCTCCAACGCCACGTATGGTACGTGTCCATACTTACCATGGAAGAAACGCATCCCCTTACATGGACGCTACATGGCGTAGGCGGCGTCCCAGCAATGCCAATCATGCAATACCGCCGCCTTATGGCCGTTCATCGCGACGCGTCGTTGAAAAAGCCGCCCACTTAACCTGTCAAGTTTACATTTCAGATCCGTGCGAGCTTCATTTAAAATGGTTGGCATGCAACGTTGTTTGCCTCCTCCGCCGCACGACATTCGTGTCATTGCTTGACGAATCCGTGGACGACCTCGCCGTCGTCGCCTATTCTCGGATGGATCATAAAGTGTGTTAATGTCGGCAAGACCCGCCTCCAGCATATCGCAGAGGCGCCATCCTATCGTCGCTTCGTGCTGTTGAATCCACTCGACCGTCACCAGCCACTTGGGTGTGTCCACATGCCGCGTGTGTCCAGTTGGCATGTGCACTCTATGTAGTGCAACGACTTGCGGGGGTTCACAGCAGCACACACAGCCCGCGAGCTCATTTCCATCATAAGATCAAGAGGAGCATGGAGGCTTGCGTTCCTTCCGCCCTGTCGACCCCCGCTGACCGCAGAGCCTGACCACAGACCAGATTCAGGGGACGTCGCAAGATGCGTTGAAAGTTGCGACCAACTTGTCGGCTCGTGATTGGCTGCTGTGAAACTCGATGGGTGGATCTTAATAAAATATGAGAGGTTTCTTCTGACTGTTGTTTGTGGTCGCTGGGACAACGGAACAAAGGCGAGATCGAACATGGCCGACGCTAACCTCCACGACCTGGGCATGCCAACTGCGTGGACGGAACACACCGCTCCCGACGGCCGCAAGTATTACTACAATGCGCAGACCCAAGAGTCCACGTGGGATCGACCTGCTGAGCTCAACAACGGTGGCGTACAACAGTCTCCAGCTCCCGCCGCCGCTGTGACGCAAGGCGTTCATGTTCGCCAACAACAAAATCACGGACATGTTGTCAATCCCCAAGCCCAGCAACAAGGGGTTCCAGCTGCTGTGGGTCCCGCTCAAGGTGGAGTCGCGACGGGTCAACAACCTCAATTGCACCCTTACGGCCAAACACCACAACCATACATTCAAGGCGGTGCCCCGTACGTCGCGCCAGGGTACCCTCAGCCTTATGGAGCACCCATGGGCTACCCTCCTTATGCGCAAGGCGGATACATGTACCCATACCCTCAACCTTACGGTGCGACCCGGCCATTCACAACATGTCCTCATCGACCGTGGTGCGTGTGCAGGGTATGCGCCGCAGGTTGCAGGTCCTGGCCCTCCCATTCAAACTACGGAAAGCGGACAAGGTAATGTACCCACTCGTCCTGCCCGATCCTTGCACAACACCAGGACGCTTGCTCGCTGGATGTCGACGCATCCAGCGACAATTGGCTTGGTGTGGTGCCTCGGGCTCTCCCTTCGTTGTCGGTTCATGTTGTATAACTGTGTGTGATTGCCAGGGCCCCCTGGGTGCAATTTATTCGTGTTTCATATTCCAAATGATATGACAAACCAGGACCTGTTCAACTACTTTCAGTCGTTTGGCAACGTCATTTCGGCCCGTATCATGGTCGAGAAGGAAACGGGGCGTTCGCGTGGCTTTGGTAAGGCGCGAATCTTCCGTACGTCTTGCTCATCACGTCCTCGCAGGGTTTGTCAGCTACGACAACGCGCCGTCCGCGGATGCCGCCATCAAAGGCATGAACGGGTACCAGGTCGGTCGGAAACGGTTGAAGGTGCAGCACAAGAAGGAAAAGGGCAGTGGCGGCGGCCTCTACGACGAAGACGCGGAAGAGGCGGCGTCACCAGCGCCCCAGTAAACGTGTCGGTTTTAGCGTCCTCGGGCGTGTCGTGGAAGAAGCGCGTCTGTCGGATTGGCTCGGGCCGTGGTGGCGTTGTGCTTGATATGCACGTTGCATTGTGGGGCGTTCTCTGGGAGGTGTTCGTCCGTGCGTCTTTCATATTGCCTGGTCTATTTGCAACGCCGCTGTCGTCCTTGGCCGTCGATCGATGTAATTCAAACGTGGCTTCGTCATGGGCATCTGTCTTTGTTTGGAAGAGCCCCGACCCCCGCGACTCGCCAATGCTGTGCTTGCAGCCCGTCGTGCTGATGCTCGTGCATCGTGTCTCCAATCGCCTTTAGCACCTGCATGGCTGCTGCCTCGACATTGCTCGTGGAGTGAGTGGAGCCATGTAGGTCGCGAAACGTGGCGTGAGATTGCCATGTCTGTCATGCGAGCCTGGACGGGCGTCGGCACCCGTCGCCGCCAATGCAAACATGGAAGTTGAAGGGGCTGTTGAGCAGCCACACAAGCTCATACACATCGATCGGTCACGTACGCTGTCGGCACTTGACCAGTTTGTGTGGGCTACATATACACCATGCGAGGATATAGCTTCGTGTCTCGGGGAGGTCTTGGGGGCCTGGTACCAGCCAGGGGTGCTCGACGCTCTGCTCACTCTCGCCTCACATGCTCGTGTTGCGGCCACACAAAGACGACATCGAGTTTCCATGTCAGAAACTTCTGCTTTATGCAAAGTGCGGTGGAGCGCCGAGTACATAATGTGAGCTCACCACCATAGGGTATTTTGAAAAGTACACAAGACAGAACCAAGAAAGGCAGTCAGAGTTTCTGGCTGCTAGAGGTGACTCCGCCGACTGGTCAGGGCATCCTCGATCGGCGGCCTCAACGAAAGAGGACGAATTGTCCTCCGACACGGTGTGCCTTGTGATGGGTGCCATACCGCTTGCCGCTCCATGCCGCACCGAGTCTTGTAGCACCGCCAAGGAAGCAAACGCATCCGCTGCATCAGCCCGTGAATCCACCCAACTTGGTGCAAAGAACGCGACGACTTCCGCGAGTCGCGCGGCGAGGACAACGAGCTCCGTCCAGGTCTCGCACTCGACCATGGAGACAAAGCGGATGGATTTGAACACTGCGACTCGAGAAGACCTGATGACCATCCCTGGAATTGGTCGAGCCATCAGCCGCAACATCGTGGAGGTGCGCCGAGAACGCCTCCTCCTGAATGTACAGCAAGCACGTGATCCTGTCAAAGGCGAGGAAGGAATCGATCGAGCGTTTGAATCTGTCGACGACCTCAAGTTTGTCAAAGGAATCGGTCCGACAAAGCTCGAGAAACTTCGGCCATTCCTGACCGTGACGCCTTCACAAACCCTTTGCATTCGGTCCCAAGTCCAGCAGCATGCGGGAATTCTGTGCCTGGCCACGTGGAACGTTCGGAATCTCTCGATGAAGACCAGTCGAGGCCCGCCGCTGCCCATGAACGAAACCAAATCGTCCTGCCAGTGCAACCCAAGCAAGTCAGTTGCGACAGCACCAGCCTCAACCAGTACGCAAGACATGTCGGCATCCGCACCCGCGAAAGCAAAACGCGACCTGTCCGTCGTGGCGGGCATCATTCAGAAGTACGATGTCGTTGCAATTCAGGTGCGAATGTCCAAGCAAGCCCATTTTGCTCACTTGCACGTAGGAAATCCGAGATGAGAAAGTGGCCGGCGAGATTTGCCGACTGCTCGACGGGTACGATTACATCCTGAGTTCGCCCGTCGGCGACATGCTCCAGTCGCACCGCGAGTACTTCTGCTACTTTTACCTCAAGACGCTTGGCTTGACGCCGCAGGTACTGGCGGTGCCGTCGACCGACAACAAGACGATGGTGCGCGGCCCCTTCATGGTCAAGTTCGAAACACCGTCCATGGCGTCCTTTGTCCTCGTCAACGTCCACGTTGTATACGGCAGAGTTGAAGAGGGGGCGTCTGCTGAGTTTAAAGAGAAATCTCGGCGCCACGACGACATTGGGGTCCTCAACTCGATCCTGACCTCACTTGCCGCCATCTACCAAGGTCCTGTCATGGTGCTAGGTGACTTCAATCTGCCCCCGTTCTTCATCGACGAGATCGGGCCGAGGTTCCTCAATTTTCGACCCGTGCTGGGGAGTAACCACGTCACGACAATTGGCAACAACTTGTTTGACAATATCTGGCTGCCACAATGCGTCGTCTACGCTGATCCTGGCGTTCGCCGCATCGACCACGAGCATTTCCCCAACTCGACATCCAAAGACCAAGAGCAATCGTTGCTGGCTCGACAGCAATGCAGAGACAACCTGTCAGATCATTTTCCAGTGCACGTCCGAGTCCATCTAGAGGGGCTGTCGAGGGAAAATCCACACAACGACCGAGAGGATATTCGTGAGCGTTGTGGCGCTTGATCAAAAGTCGGAAAGTTTCTCTGGTGCATGCCTCTGTGCGGTGGTGAACGATCTCGCCCTTTGCCACGAAGGTGTTTGAATCCATCGAGAGGATGCCGAAGCATGTTCAAAGGCGGTGGCAGCATTTGGAGATCGGTAGTGTCGTGTAAACTCGTCCAAGCGCTGTCGAGTCGAACGAGCCCT